GCTGTTTCAACAACAAGGTGGAGGGAGAATTCCTCTGCTGTCAGACTGAGAGACTGATAACTACAGCTCAGGTGAGGTAAAGGACTGTGTTTAGATATAACTTAGTCTAAGTTACCTCAGTGGGTCTCAAACAGTTTGGTCACCATTTATGTAAACACATATTTCCATTTGAGGGGAGAGTGATTAGTAAAATATGCATGAATAATAAAAAACAAATGTTAACTAGGTGAAAAAAGGTAAAATAAACTTTAAAAACGTGTTGAGAGCTAAAACTAGTCTTTGCTGGTGCCTCAAAGAGGAGCAGGGGGGAGAGGAGGGAGAGAGGTGAGGCTGGTTCAGGAGCCCAGACACACTCACAACTATAAATGAACCAAAAACAAATAAATAAACAAGTTTCAATGTTTTTTTATATTGGATATGGTATGTTATTGGTTATGGCCATGTTCTTATGATTTTATGATTATTTAAATGTATACAGTTCTGTTTCATATGGGTGTTTCCATAGATCTAGTCTCTTTATTCTCCCCTCAAAATGCACCAGATTGATGCATTTAACTCCAACATTAAAAAAATAATCTTACCGGGGGAGCATGCCCCCGGACCCCCCTAGAGGATTTGAAGTCCACCCCCACTTAAAATATGTTCACATGAATAGGTTCATAAATAGATTTGCACATGTTTTAAATAGTAACCCCTGTCCATATGTGTATTATTGGGTAGTAGATTTAAACTATAGGGCTATCACTATGGGCAGCAACGCTGTAAATATTCACAAATAAATCCACAAAAATGGCACAAAAAAAAACTGGTAGTGGCCTGGCTGGGTGTATAATTCCCGGCCTGATTTATTGTCCCAGTCCGGCCCTGGTTGACTCTGACCAAATTCGCAACATATCCATTTTGGGAAGCAAGCTGCGAGCATTTACATGGATGATGTGTAACCCAGACAAGTTCTTAAAGTCCGCCGGGGTATTACATGCCATTAAAGGACCAGGATTAGGCTGAATACCAGACAGACGTAAAAGCAACATAATCAACCTGTTAAGCCCTGAGCCTGTTTTTCAGGTTTCAGGCTCGAAAATGACATGCCCAGAACAAATGACTATATCTTCACTTCTAAAAGGGGTAAATTAATCATCTTTTTTCTCAAAGCAATGATACACCTGTGAGTTGGATGTAGAAAAGTCAGAATCAATATAGATGTTTTTATTTTTAAATTAAAATTAAGATTGAATAAATTATAGTTTCCGTCCAAAAGAAAAACATTTCAGTCAGACAACTCACGTGTTTCTTTAACATGTTTATTAGAAGCAGCATATAGTTGAGTTTGGCGTCTAGGCTCGGGCCTCATCACTCCACAGATATACATAGCACAATGAGTGATGATTAAATAACTAACCCCCGAGCCTACAGGTGGAAGCTGGGATGGAAGCTGGGGTGGTGGGGGGGCAGGCAAGCAGCAGCGACATGAAACACAGCAGCGGTAGCAATGTGAACGCAATAGCAGGCACGAACGCAGCAGCAGCAAGCAATGCATGGAGAGAGATCCGCAGGTTAAATAGAGCGGCATATTAAGGAGACTCTGTTTGGTTGGTTGTAGAGTGGCAAGGGGCGTTATGTATGAATGCAGCATAAGTGCTCGAGTTGACTGCCTGAACTAGCTCGCAGGGTTCACCCCATTACTCCACTTACATCAGCCAAAAGGAAAATAGCCTCTTATTTTTCCTTAAAATGTGCCATCATGACCAGAATTGCAGAGAGATGTGTCTATGTATCTGTATATATATATATATATATATATATATATATATATATATATATATATATATATATATATATATACACATACATATACACAAATATAAATAAACACACATTTAGAGGTCATAATAAAAATAAACAATATATATATATATATATAAAATCATGGTCAAGGATTAATTTGAAAATATTACAAAATATATCAACAGTTATATATACAGTTGATATTCCACAGAATAAAAATAAATCAACATAAATTAAAATGAACATTGTAATCCCTCTCCCACTCCTCTTTCTGTTTGTTTTTTGTTTGTCTTGTACTATATTGCTTTTTCAGTTATAAATGTCTTATTAAATACATAAAAACACTCCCCATGCTTCAGCTTCCTGGGCAACTGATTTCCAAGTGGAGAACTGGCGCCACCTACTGTCATCTCTATGAACTGACTCCTAGTGATTGCATAACAGTAATGGATAAAACCAGGCATTCAGTCCATGTTTTACTCAGTTAAATTAACCCTTGTGTTATGTTCACATTTCGCACCCTTTGGTAATGTTCGGGTCAAATTGACCCGGGACATATTTCAGGGTTTAAAAAAAATACAGAACTAAATTCAACATGCACAATTCCTTATATATATTGTCTTTAACTCATTCCCCAACAATATAAATGAAATATATGATTAGTTTTTGAAAATACTCTTTGCTAGATCAAATTTAACAATGGAAGTGTCCATCGTTTTTTGTGTTAAAAATGTAATTTCTGTTAAAAAAAATACACTGTAATAAAAACTAGGTTTACATTTTGCTCATGCAAAATTAGGACAAATGTAAATGAAACATTTTTTCATTAATGTTTATTATTTTTAATCTGTCATATACTAATCAAAGCCCTGAAGGAAATAAAGCAATTTAACAGCAATTGAAACACAAGAACCATACATCCAAAAGTATTTGGATGTGAAATATATAGAGATGATGAAACATCCATATAAATGACATAGAACAGATATAAACACAAAGCAAATAAAAACAATTAACAGTCACTATTCATAAAATACAGTATATCCGAAAAATATATTGATGAAGTGACGCTGCAGAACATCATGTGAGTCAATGGGCAAGTCCGTTTAGGAAACACATGATGTACAGAACTTCTTCGTGTGTATAGCACAGATGTAAATGTTGCAGTTGCTGCATGTAGTCTGTGTCTTGGAGTCTTCCAGCAGCTGGCTGTGGGGATCCTTTAGCGGCTGACTGTGGGGGTCTTCCAGCAGCTGGCTGTGGGGATCCTTCAGCGGCTGACTGTGGGGGTCTTCCAGCAGCTGGCTCTGAGTCAAGTTCATCTTCCAATTCGCTGTCAAATTCTGAGTTTACCTCCACATTATCCTTATCTTCAGAAATGTCTTCCTGTTCCACTTCACCGTGTTCTTCTAATGCATTCCACTCACTCTCATCCATTAGCTCCAAGGCTCTCTGAGCAGAATATCTTTTGGCCATTTTGCTGGTAGATAATTGTAGTTCTGCACTATACACTGTAATGTGAGGTTATGTCTCTGTTTAGTCCCTCCTCCGGCGTGCAGGTGCGAGGGGGACAGTGCGAGAAAATGTAAAATGTTTATACATTTCTGGAAGATCTAAAATGTTTATAATGTTCTTGTAATGTTGTTGTCGGACGCTGGGACAGGCTCAGATGCAGGGTCTTCTCTGCTGCTGCTCCATCCTTCTGGAACGCTCTCCCTATACACATCAGACAATCAACCACCCTATCATCCTTCAAAGAAGCCCTCAAAACCCACCCCTTCAGAATGGCTTCTCCCTTGGAACCCCCACCCCCCATGTCATAACTCCGCCAATCTGAATGTTAAATGGTCTGTTTTAAACAAGTATTTGGCGTATTAACTAAAGTTTGAACCATACAGAATGGTGTCCCATAAGGGTCTACCGGGACTGATTTAATTTACAATTTATAGATAATTTGTGTGGCAGTGTCACTACTTTTGCAGACTACTTTTACTAAAGTAAGATTTTGAATGCAGGACTTTTACTGAACAGAGTGTTTTCCAAACTTAGCATTGCTGCTTTTACTAGTAGCACCAGTGGTGGAAAGTAAGTACATTAACTCAAGTATTGTACTTAAGTACTTTTTTGAAATATTTGTACTGTACTTGAGTATTTCCAGTTATTGCTACTTTATAATTCTACTCCACTACATTTCAGAGGCGAGTATCATACTTTAAGTTTAAAACGTATAGTTACTTTGTAAAACAAATATATGCTTATATGGTATATGCCGTATTGTAGTTCTAATCTACTCAGTATTTTTAATATCTACATTTGGTGAACATTGACCAACTACAATACTAAAGTGCTCTTAGATGTACAAAAAAAAACTTTGAAAATATCCATTCTGTATAATGAGTATTTTTACTTACTTTTGATACTTAAAGTACCTTAAGCTGATAATACTTCTGTACTTTATATTATTCTGAAATGGGCCATTTTACACAATGAGTACTTTTTACTTTTTGTACTTTAAAGGTGGGGTAGGTAATTTTGGAGAAACCAGCTCCTGAGTGCGCTAGAATTTGAAAATACAACTGGAAAAAATCTGCCACTTCCTTATAGAGCCCCTCCTCCAACACACACGAACGCGCACATGACCAATGAGGGCACGAGATAAGTTTGTGCAGGAGATGGAAGGCTGACAGGCAGGTAGGCCATCCAGTTATTTTAGCCGGGCCAGCTAAAATGATTGGTCGTGCTTTATACAGCGCCACGGCTTCCACAGATGAAATTTTTTTATGTATTTATTGTCAAAGCATGATGTAATGTATTCATTGCTATCGGGATGTGAAGAACATTCCATGGAATATAACAAAAAGTGTTTCTGAAATAAATTACATACCCCACCTTTAAGTATATTTTAACACCCTAATATTTGTACTTTAGTAATGAATCTCAGTACTTCTTTTAACCCTGAGTAACTCAATGTGATAACTTATTTCACCTCTATAGTGCACGCGCAGAGATAGTGTGTGTGGTAATGTGATTATCTGTTTACTGTTATAACAGAGGAAACGTTATGTAAGCACACGTACACACACACGCACACACAATCAGCGTGCCTCCTTGTTTACTATCCTTCCCCGAATGCAATTGGCTGGCGGCCGCCCACCTCGCTCTCCCATTGGCTGAGCTCTCTATTAAGTAGCAGTGAGGAGCTGCAGTGTGGAAAAGCTTCCCCCGGACTACTCTGCTCTAGTGTCACTATTAACGGACTTTGAATTACATTTTATTTTTCCTATTTGTTAATTTGGCAGCGTTTGAAGATGACGAGTAAAATTAAGTTTGTTCAGTCTCTGATAAAGACTGCAGCGCGTGCTAACGTGCCCAAACACATCGACCACTTCTCCAAGTTCTCCCCTTCTCCTCTGTCCATGAAGCAGTTCCTGGATTTCGGTGAGTGTTTACCACAGTGTTTACATATTTGTAATTGATTTAAAAGTTAAAGAAGTGCATTTTGTCTGTGCAATCGTAAACCATTTATTCTAGCGTGATCACTTTAGTATGTTTATGTATTCATCTTTTTATGTATGTTAGTAGTCTATGCATTTTTTCTATTATTTCGTTCTAATTTAAATTGAAATGTGTCGTTCTATTTACATCTTCCACACGATCAGGATTGGAGCATTGCATTGCATAATCTCTGAGGCTGAAATGATTTTTTCTGCTGCAATCTATGCAATGTGTTTTACAGTAGTCAGCAGGAAAGATTCACCTCCTCTTCCTCACTGGAGCAAAACAAGTTGTGACCTCAGAGTGTTAGGATGTCATGCTGCTGACATGCTGCTTGTGTTAGTTCATGTTGATGACATGACAAACAAGGATTTTTTTCTGGATGTTTGGCTGAGTTCTGATGGCCTTTTTTTTTAAGTGTACAGGAGTGTCTTTTTTGTTTTGTTGTAAATTCACACAGTTTTAGCCATAATTTCCCAACAAATAAAAGTTAACTATATAGACAGCTTTCCCTTGCAACACATTTCTGTCTCTGTATCAGGTTTTTGTTCTTGTTTACCTCAAAGGCACAGAATAGAAGTTCCCTTAAGATGTTTATTTTACGTTTCAAACTTGGGTACACGACTACATTAAGTCTAGAGGAAGTTTGGTTGGAGAAAAGCATTAATCCTTATCAGAAGGGCGCTGATTTTTCTGAACAAACCCCCCTTGTAATTTTTGTACAGTATTTTAGTTTTGTTGTGATTTTTATTTTTTCAAAATGATTCAATCCATAATTAATTGGGTCATTCTTGACCTTGGTTGACTTGGTTCAGTGTTTCAAAGAACCTTTAAGCACATCTCACATCCCTCATCTGCAGCTGGACTTCACCCCCCAATGTACGACCACTTGTTCTCTCAAGGCAGAAATTCTCTACTATTGTATGTCACTTGATGAAAATGGAACCATCTCAATTAGCTGGAACAGTCGGGGAGATGGTTGAAAGTACCATTAAAAACGTTTAAGACAGTTGCAGTGATGGCGATTTCTTTGTAGGGCGACCAGGAGTTAGCGTCACAAGGGAACTCTTTCTACTTAAAGGAATGGGATTTTTTTATTCAAGTTTCAAATGTTGCTAAAATTAAGATCTGTGGCGAACACACGTTTATGATATATTTGTAAGACACGTAGAAGCTCCAGTCATTCACCAGTACAGGTTTAATGACATATTATATGTTGTAGAACAAAATGTGAACATTTTTATAATCTTGCATATTTTGGGAATCTACAAACTCATTCAAAGAACCATTGACTTTGAGATGAGAGAACCTTGAGCCAAAATGTGAACTCATTTCTGGGTTAAAGACTCATTCCTGCTTTCATTGACCTTGACTTTAGATTATTGTGTCAAACCAGTAACAACTGGTTTCATGTCCTTTTACATTGAATTGTAACCCTCTTCTGTCCTGTTTCAAGGGTCGACCAACGCCTGTGAACGCACTTCGTTTGTCTTCCTTCGCCAGGAGCTTCCTGTCCGTCTGTCCAACATCATGAAAGAGATCAACCTGCTGCCGGAGCGCCTGCTGGCCATGCCCTCCGTCCAGCTGATGCACAGCTGGTGAGGAAGACCCCGCATCACTGATGGACTCATGTCTGATTACCTGGTGACTGATTGACTGACTGGTTTACTGACTGACCTGACACTGCAGTCCTGCACAGGAAACAAACTAAAAGAGGCTTAGAACAACATCTACAAGTAGCAGAGTACATTTAACATCAGAATCAGGTTTATTGCCAAGTTGACACATACGTGGAAATTGCCTTTGTGTATATGGTGCATATAAACACAGTCAAAGAAGATACATTGTAAGAAAAGGACCAAATCAACTTTAAGAAAATTATAATAACATTATAATATAGCAATATTTACATGAAATATAGATATACCTATACAAATAAAATAAATATGTGCAGTTTTTTATGGCAAGACAACATTCCGCCTTTTGAGATATTCCCTTCAGGTATGCAGATTCCTGGTGAATCTCTTTTAAAGCCTTCCCTTTTTTTTTTGCCGAGTAGGCCATTGTTAACAGTTGCAGGGCTTTTAATCTGATTGCTATGAATAGTCCAACACTGCACTAAGGGCCATTTCTAATCAGGTATTACATTACAGAGCTGGCTGAACTTTGTCCCAGTTCCTCCTCCTACCCCCGCCTTTCTTCTTCTTCCCTTCCTGGGGCTGCCTGCTTGTTGTAACTTGCAGCTGAGGGGAACAGTACGTTATGATCACGAGGAACACAGTGATAGAAAAGTAACTTTCAGCGGCATTCATCGAAGATATCCACCAATTGTATTCTGTTAATTTAAGAGACACTCTTACGGAGAGGATCTTTGATAGTAAAAAAAGGTTGGAACTTTAGAAAGTGTTTTTGGGAGGTTAGTCTAGAACAGGGGTGGGGAACCTTTTTCCTCTCAAGGGCCATTTCAACTTTTACAACATCCTCCGAGGGCCGTACAAATGATTGACCTCTGCTTTAAAATACTAAAATCACAGCCCATTCATTTGGCCTTTCTTTCATGTTGTGCAAAGAAAAAGCAACCTCTTAATCCAGATATCTTACCATGACTCGCGTATGCATGCACGTGCACAGTTGTGGCATGACCACCAAAACAGAAAGATATGGACACAAGATGTGTGCAAATGTATTTAGTATCCTATCCATGTGAACATGATTTAAGTGGGGGGGGACCTAACCTCCTCTAGGGGGGTCCGGGGGGCATGCTCCCCCAGGAAGATTTTTTTTAAAGGTTGAAGTTAAAAGCATCAATCTGGTGCACTTTGAGAGCAACATTAGGAGATCTATGGATACATCTCTCAACACCCATATGAAACAGACCTGTAAGCAGATTTACTTTTTCTTTATGGATATTTTACAAATCACTCTCCTTTCAAACTGTATTCTTGTTTATTAATAACAACTTTTTTTACTGTCATATAGTATTTTATACCTGTTTACTTTATTCTCTTATTTTTTGATAACTATAATGATCATATAAAGATGTGCCTTTACCTCACTGGTTATAGAAAAAGCTTCTTATATTCGTTAGCATAGCTAGCTAACCAGATGCTAATAACAACAAAGTTATTGACTGTCTGATCAGTGTGACAGATGAACAGATCGCCACTGGGCTTTCAACTAAAGACTAAAATGTCTGAAGTCCCGGAGTGGCGTTCTGGGGCCTCATTTGTAAAGCTTTGCGTAGGATTGGCGTGGGAAGGTTGCTTACGTAGGACAAAGCAAATAAATACGCACCGACACTTTCCGATTCATAAAAGACTGCGTACCGGCACAGGACTTGCGTACGGCACATCCTACGCCAGTTTCCCTTTATAAATCACAATCAACTCGAAATGCGGCGCAGCTTTTGCGGGCTTCACGTAACGCCCATATTTGCCTAGAAATAGTCAAAGAAACGCCCATTCATTCATTTTGACTGACTGCATGAAGAAGATCGCAGGAAATGACGACAGAACATCAGACATCTCACACAGGGGGTGTTTCTCAATCGCGAGTAAAGCTGCTTCAGAGCCACTATTTCAAGCATACTACGTCATCGAGTGCCGCCGAAGTACTGTTCCAATCTCCAGCATACTTGGAAATCTACCGAGCCCGGCGTACTTCGTAGCGAGAAATTTCGAGGCTGCACATGTGTAGACTCCGCGGTCTTAAAATCCCCACAATTCGCGATTGAGAAACACCCCGAGTACGCTTGCTTGGTAGCACATGTCTGCCGAGCATCTTGCTTCAGAAGCAAGGCAAGAATACTTCCTGGCATTTGGAAAACGAAGAGTGGAACACGCTAGCAAGTGTGCAGGTGTGCGTCATATGAGAGGCCCCGCCTTACATTTTCCGTCACTGATTTGGGGAAATTGGTCCATGCGCAAAGCATTGTGGGGATTTTAAGACCGCGGAGTCTACACATGTGCAGCCTCGAAATGTCTCCAAACTAGAGACGGCAAATCCGGATCCTTTTACGGACTCGGAGTCTTCTGAGTCAGTCGTTGAAGAGATCCGGATCATACGAGTCCTTTGAGTCATATGAGTCAGCATTACCAAGAGCGTATAAATCCTACCGGTGAAACCGAAAAGTTGTTGCATTTCACGAGCATATTAAACTAACGTTATATTAACCTCCGCTACACAGTGTATTTTGCTTTAATAAAAAATGTTGATCACAAAAAAAGGGTTATTTTGTGATTTGGCGAATCTGAGTCTGCTGTTGACTCGTGCATGAGGACGAGTCTGCTGGATCTCTGGATCTGCTGCTATACGGTTAAGGCTCTGAGTCCGCACGAGTCTGCTGTGTTTTGCACAGTGAGTCAGGATTTGCGAATCTCTGAGTCTGCTGTTGACTCGTGCACAAGTAGGGGTGCTGGAGGCGGGGCTGCGAATGGTGTGGATTTGAAAAACGTCATGTTACTGTTGTTGAAATCTCTCCCCACTTTTGTCCGCACCCCCTAAGTAAAATGACTTCCCAGTTCCCGCTGCTATGCTCGTGCATGACGAGTCTGGATCATGGATGTATGGTCTGGATCTCTGGATCTGCTGGATCGGTTACGGCTCTGAGTCCACACGACTTACAAGTCTGCAGGAAGTGAAGGAAGTTCCCTTGATTCAGTGAGTCAGGATTTGCGAAATCTGAGTCTGCTGTTGACTCGTGCATGATGAGTCTGCCTGGATCTCTGGATCTGCTACGGTTATGGCTCTGAGTCCGCACGAGTCTGCAGGAAGTTTCACTGATCCGCGTCCCCTGAGCCAAACGATCACTTCTGGCAGCTATCCTACTTGCTAAAGGCTAGGCAGATGGACTGGGGTACGTTGTAATGTGATTTTACATGTTATAAGGAGAGTAGCGAGTGACGCAATTTATAGTTTTAATTTGTACGTCACCAGGTGTAGGACTCAAAGGACTCGGGTTAATGGAGAGGGGAGACTCGTCACGACCAGCTCATTACTAGGATCCGGATTAATGATCCGGATGAATCAGGACTCACCCATCTCTACTCCAAACGAAGTACGCCGGGCTCGGTAGAATTCCAAGTATGCTGGACATTGGAACAATACTTCGGCGGCACTCGATGACGTAGTATGCTTGAAATAGTGGCTCTGGAGCAGCTTTACTCGAGATTGAGAAACACCCACAGTGTCAGACTTAGGTTATTTTGGGGAGGTGGAGATAAATCATATTGTTTGGTGGATGCAGTTTGAACCAGAGTAGCAGCATGGAGGTCGGATCGTCACCTAAATAAATAAATAAGTGGTCCGAAAAAGGTTAATGACAAAGAAAATACACATAGCCTTCCTCAGGCAGTGTGTTTGTCCCGGGGACAGGAGACACCCCCTTGATGAGAAACTGTAAGAAATGATCGGGGAATCCCTCCGGAGTGGAGTCATGACGACTGGATCTATTTTGTTGTATTTGGTGGTTTGTGTTCCAGCTGTCGATCAGCAACTATATATATATCCATAATCCACCAGTTAAAGGAAATACAACTAATGTGTTGTGTTATATTAGCTGTACAATTTACCACATATGGTGTTCTTAGTTTCCATACCTCCTGTGTTTTACGAGCGACTTATCAAGTAGGCTATATTGACATATATTAAAAAACATCTCTTATCTTGTGTTAACCACAGACCTTATCCAACCCAAGCCCACATGAGGTTAGATGAGGGGGTCCAGCACACATTTCCCAAAAAGCACAAATTAAGATGTTATTAAGATATCTACTTAAAGGTGGGGTAGGTAAGTTTGAGAAACCAGCTCGAGATACACTTTTTGTTATATTCCATGGAATGCTCTTAACATCCCGATAGCAATGAATATCTGAAGTGCTTTGACAAAAAATCCATAAAAAAATGTTCATCTGTGGAAGCAGTAGTACTGTAAAAAGCACGACCAATCATTTTAGCCGGCCCGGCTAAAATAATTGGATGGCCTACCTGCCTGTCAGCCTTCCATCTGTGCACAAACTTATCTCGTGCCCTCATTGGTCATGTGCACGTTCGTGTGTGTTGGAGGAGGGGCTCTGTAAGGAAGTGGCAGATTTCTTCCGGCTGTGTATTTTCAAATTCTAGCGATCTCGAGCTGGTTTCTCCAAAATTACCTACCCCACCTTTAACAAACCAAACAAAAAAGATTTATTCTCTCGACTCACAATTTCGACCAGCCAATCTGGACAGGTGGAGCCTGACGTCACTCATTCACAAAAATCTGCCCTTTATCAAAACAAAATTGTATACTGTATAAATAAGATTACATAGCAGTTCTTATATATTTCCTAAATCTGTATCTACCATTATCTCCTGTGACTATATCCATGTGTTTTTGTTCTCTCAGGTACATCCAGAGCCTGTTGGAGATCCTGGAGTTTCTGGACAAGAACCCCGATGACCAAAGCGTCCTTGAAATGTGAGTGTAGCACACTTATCTGAAAGAACAAACACAAGCACAACAGGACACATCTGGACGATTGCTTCCACTCTCTTCTTCTTCTCCAACCAAATACCTGCCTTCTTCTTCTCCTCCTGTCCTTCCTTCCTGCCCTATTCTTGTGGCCATCCTTCCCCCACCAATCCCAGGTTTGTGGAGGTCTTGGAGAGTATCAGGAACCGGCACAACGAGGTGGTCCCCACCATGGCCCAGGGGATCGCTGAGTACAAAGACACTTTCCACCAGCAGGACCCCGTCACTGACCACAACATCCAGTACTTCCTGGACCGCTTCTACACCAGCCGCATCTCCATCCGCATGCTCATCAACCAGCACAGTGAGCGGCCACACACACACACACACACACACACACACACACACACACACACACACACACACACACACACACACACACACACAGATTGTATGTTATGACCACCCCTGATCACATGACAAAAACATCGATGAACACACAGAATATGTTAATTACTTTTACTAGTGGTATTTGTGGCATGGGTAATAACTTTTTTCTCTTTCTCTACCCCTTTGCAGCTCTCGTCTTCAACGGCAACACAAACCCCGCCCACCCCAACACCATTGGCTGTATTGATTCCATGTGTGACGTGCCTGAGGTGGCGCGAGGTAAGAAGAAGGAGAGAGAGGGGCTGTTGCTGTTGGTCATTAGAATTATGTCAGCTGCCCGTAATTACATCAGTCACATGATACTAATTGATTTAGAACATGTGGATATGGCATCTGACTCAGTTAATCACATATACAGTGTAGAATATCCAGTACAGTTGAAAAAAAAGTCACAATTAGAGAAGTTAAAGACTAATGCACTTTATTTGGTAGTTGCAAGTTTATATACCAAGGCAAAGTGGGAAAAACCCTCAAGCCCTGACCCCAGAATCGTCCAGATTCACTGCATTGTATCGGTTGGCAGTTTAATTCTTAATAATCTTTTCCCCAACTATAACATATGCTCTCTTCCTTATTGAAACCCTAAATCTAATATTGATTAATTTTGCTGTTGGGTTTTGTATGTTCACTGTCTGGGATTAGATATGATTCACCTCTGAACCAATACAGTACCATTTTATGTACTTTAATCTATCTTTAATAATAAAACAATTGCAGTGCGATGTATTAATGTTCAGTGGCTTGAAATCCCCTCGCAAACGCTAAACTAAAAGCGGCTAATGTCCAGTGTGATGACGTTTATTTGTCTGATTTAGCCACTTGTTAGCAACCGCTGAATTTAAGACACAGAAGCTTCAGACGTCCCCCAGTGGGGTATTTACTCACGTATTTTGTGTCGTAGAACAAAACGTGAACATATGTTGAGTTCATGTTAACCACAGACCTTATTACAGGCATCCAGAGGAGCTCAAATGCTAACTCATTCCTGTATCCACTCTACCAAAGGCCCAACAAAACACTGCAGGGTATTGCATGCTGTTGCCAAAATAGTACACTTTGAAGATTGAAAGAAAAGGTTTCTGTTTGTTTTGTTGTTCTATTAAAGTAAGCAATCATTTTCTGAACAATTGAGTTGATCACAATGCATATATCATGTTAAGGAGTCAAGCACTTACATCAATAAAGATAGCAGGTTGATAATTGGAGCAGTGTTTGAACAGAAACAGTGACAGCAGATGGGTGGGATCCGTTTATAATGATAACCTTTTATTTTCATTATATTAGGTACCTATCATATCTAGTTATCTTTATGTCAGTTTTATTATCTCCATACGTGCAGAGGAGTATCTTTGTTTTGCTCTCTGTGTCTCCAGACGCCTATGAGAGTGCTAAGCTGCTGTGTGAGCAGTATTACCTGGGAGCCCCGGAGCTGGAGCTGACGCAGATAAACGGTGAGACACACACACCTAACACACACATTCACATTCTCCATGGCTGATGTGTGTGTGTGTGTGTGTGTGTGTGTGTGTGTGTGTGTGCATAGTGAGTTTACTGTTTTCTCCTCCCCTAGCCAACAACACCAGAGAGGCCATCCAAATCTCATACGTCCCATCGCACCTGTACCACATACTGTTTGAACTCTTCAAGGTAATGAATATAACTGCAGGAACAAAATAAAAATCACTATAGGATAAAGGATATAAGCCTGCTCAATAACAGCGCCAGTCCAGTGATTTAGTATTTGTGTTTATACAAATTTAAGAGAGAGAGATTTTTTAACTGGTTAAAATTGTACTAGCAGAGCCACCACTGGATACTAGATTTCCCAAATGCAGCTTAACACTCAGGTTGTAAAAGGCTTTTAGTCAAAAATGTATCATCAAGATAACCTTGATGACATCATATTGACATAATTGCAGGTTATTTTCACAGAAATGAATGAAAACACTTATCAAACATTTATCCCGAATGTATGTATATTACAAGAGTGAATTTACCGACACAATCAATAGGTTCGGCATTGATTTTAGGATAAATGGAACCTTCTTTGATATCATCTACACCTCCCTGTTCTCTGTAGAACGCCATGAGAGCAACCATTGAGAACCACGAGGCCAGCAGGACCCTCCCCCCCATCAAAGTCATCGTCGCACTTGGAGGAGAGGACCTGTCAATCAAGGTGAGTACGTGTAGAAAAAAACTCCTTAATTGTCAAATGTGTCTAATTTACATGAGCAACATGAAATAAACGCAGCTTCCGTATTGATAACAACATTTTGGCAATGTTACAGAGTTTTATGTTCTACACATTTTGGAATCACGTTTTTTACTTTATTTATGGTGCAACCAGAGTCTGATTTGCTTGATAAAGGAACCCAGATTTCACCTGTTTATATAATTCTTTATTTATACTTTGTACTGTGTCCTTCTTAAAGGCACAGGAACCATTTCTACAGGCAAAATATGTTTATATTATGCATTCAATATAAGCGTCTGTATTTATTGATAGTCCATATTGAAACTTCATTATAAGAAAAAACAGGATATGATTACGATGGCTTTTGAACTCTTTGTTAGGCTGTTGTTTCAGGTAAAATGCAAGTTACCTAATTTATATCAAACCTAATGCTCTGGATTTATGAGCTTCACAAGTGTGAGTTTAATCTGTCTTTGGAACGTTCTCCGGGATGTTGCACCAGAACTAAAACCTGTTCAAGCCAGGATTTAGGAGCATGGAAATATCAAATAAGAGCCTGTAAACCCCAAAATGCCTTAGCAAACAGTTTTCTACAACCTCACAAGATGAAAGAAAAAGAAAGGTATTTGTTAAAGTCCCCAGATTCTTTGCTAAGAATAAAAACAGAGCTGGCTCAAGTATGTAACTCATACATCGTCCAAGGAGATTATGTGATGATTGTTCAAAGAGCTATTTAAAGAGAGAGTAGAATGACTGCTTTCTTTTCCTCCCCGTTCTGAATGACCTGCTTTTACCCTATGTCCCGTTGTTCTTGTTCTCCTGACTAAAACTGTTCAGCTGCTTATTAATCAGGTTACATAACCCTTTATCATCAAAGGATCACCATCTATCCATATAACAAGTCCATTCATGACATAATTGTCTTCTGTCACATCATGCATCCAACTTAAGGCAGGATTAACTCTATAAAGTGTGCTAAACCTGGGAGCTAGTTAGCATTTTAGCACTTCCGGGCTTTCTTGTCTCAAAGTCAATGTGTTTTTGATGAATGAGTATTTGGTTAGATTCCCCAAAAAAAGGTCTAAACACGTGTTAGCATCATGAACGTGTGCTTGCTAGAGATCTTATTTTCTGTAATACCTAATCAATGCACCGCTCTTTTTACAGTTTAGTGTTTGTTTCACTTCCATCATGGCTTCTGTGTTAACCTCTTCATCTCTCTCTCTCTCTCCAGATGAGTGACAGAGGGGGGGGGCGTTCCCTTCAGGAAGACAGAGCATCTCTTCAGCTACATGTACTCCACCGCTCCCAGACCCTCCATCGGAGACAAACACAGAGCCCCACTGGTAAGCAGCTCAAACACAATGCTAACATGATAAATTCTGTCTGTGTGTGTGTGCGTGTGCGTGTGCGTGTGCGTGTGTGTGTGTGTGTGTGCAGGGGCGCCGCCAAGGATTTTGGGCCCCATGAGAAGATATCACATTGGTCACTTAAACATTTTTTTCTTAATGTTCTAAAATTATTTGGGCCCCTGTCAGTCACGGCCCTTAGAATCGTCCTAACTTTTCACCCCCTTACGGCGCCCCTGTGTGTGTGTGTAGGCAGGGTTCGGCTATGGTCTGCCCATCTCTCGTCTCTACACTCGCTACTTCCAGGGAGACCTACAGCTCTACTCTATGGAGGGCAGCGGCACTGACGCAGTGGTTCACCTGAAGGTAAGATATCATATCACACACATGTACTGAAAGTAATCAGCAGCGAATATTCACGTGCTTCAACACGTGTATTTCGGTTTATTCAAGGCATTCATTTTGTTATTCTGCAGTATTGTTGTTTTATAGTTATTTGTTAATGTAAATAACCCAATTGATGTTCTTTGAAATTGAAAAGGATATTGTGTTTGTTACTTTCGTTGCAGTTGTATATGTCTTAAGTGTAATTTGGCTTGGCTTCCTATTTTGTATGGACATGCTTTTATTTTGAAGGAGAGTTAGCGCTGTTGACAGGAAGTTGTTGTTGCTATGGAAACAACGTGACGGAGAAAAGGAGCGGAGATTAAAGGAGAAAAGTAATATCTACATATAAAGACGGAGAAAGTAAAGGATAAAGTTTATGGTTAAGTGTTAGCACCCCCCGAAGAGGCACAAGCTCTTACGTTGATATTGGAGATTTCAATAAATTCAATTTGGCAGCCGCAGCTATAGAACAAGTTGAGGCCTACATGAATGCAGAAAAACCCCATATGCAGTATATCATACCTGTATTAAAATTAATTGCCTGTCTTTCTACAGGCATTGTCCACGGACTCAGTGGAGAGACTTCCCGTTTTTAACAAGACCGCTCTGCGTCACTACAAGCTGAGCCTGGAGGCGGACGATTGGTGCGTTCCCTCCAGGGAGCCTCTGGACCTGACTGTGTACCGCGCAGAGAAGTGATCCAGACATGAGCTGACATGATATCTGACTCAAACCCTCACTAACTGACCACAACAGGTCTATAGGAGGCAGGGCATTGTGGGACCAGAACTACCAGGCCTTGGGTGGACGAGGACTTGCTAAAGTGTCCAAAAGTGTCCTTGGGTATCGAAGACAAGGCAGCGCATCGGCATCCTGGTTGATTGGGAACTTCCTCGATTGAAACCAGCATCTACTTCTTCTCTACACGTGTGCTTTAGATAGAGGAAGCGAATGTTGACATTCTGAGTCAAGATGGCCGATCTTCAAAGATGCAGTAGTAGTAATCCAGGAAGTGAGAGCTCGTTGTAGAGCTGAACTGGTGGTCGGGCTGAACAATTTGTAGAACATATGCAACTGTGGATATTACCTGACCAATTGGGATTTATGAACACATTTACCAAAATTATAGCTATTATTGAAGGTTCTAAAGGTGGTTCTGTGCCAATTAAGTCTAAAGCTGCCCTCACATGCTCAACCGTAAAATGGCTCTATGCTGACGTTGCAGTTTTTTTCCTATGGACAGAGCAATACAGCCGACTATGCGAAAAAATTCCTTCGGTGTGCATCACTCGTGAAAAGCTGTCGCTCAAAGTTCAATTTTTTTTAACTTTGACCTTGAAGCCTTTTGATGCATCACAAAATTAGATAACAGCTGTGTGCAGCACCGTAACCATAGAAACAAAACATCTACCTGTTGTCACCGCAAGGCTGTTCCGCGCCCTACTTATTGGTGAGCAAAGAACAAATGGCGGATCATGTTAAGGCAGCTTTATGGTTTGATGCCACTTAGGGCCTTCCTCAGAGCCAAAAAGGGCTTCTGCATGTTGACTTGTTGACATGTGGAGTTAGCTTTTTGCTTTTTGATGCAATAACCATTTCCCGTTCCTCTTTGTGCCTGCTGTAAGTAGGAATCAGTTAATGGGAATTCTATGCAATCTTATACTGTTTGACTTTTCTGGTCTTGTACAAATGCCAATAAGTAAATCCTCTCTTGAGTTCCTGTTTTGTGAACAGATGTGCTCAGTTACTGGTATTAAAGAGGGATCAAGGATCACTTGGTTAGACTTTGACAAAGAGTTACATAAGCTTGTCTGTCTTCTGTTGACAGTGATGGTTATCCATTAATTAGTTCTGATAAACATTTGTTTTCCAAGACCTGCAGGGTCCAAACTGCAATGACTGTGTTTGACTGTGTATGAAAGTAATATCCATCCAATATACTGTTCATTTGTTTGATTTACTTTATGTAAACACAGTTATGTGTGACTTTGACATTGTGTCATGCCTCAATTGAAGTGTCTATATTCTAATGTGTATTTGAAGTGAAGATTTCATATTGAAGGGCTTCTATTTTTATTAAAAAATATATGAAAATAAATTATCCTGAAGTTAATGAATCTCCCATGTGCCCTATTGAGAGTGGGTGGAATCAGGCTCTGAGTTGTATAACACAAGATGTAGTCATGTTTTCCCAGTGAGGATGACCTGGAGCAGCTCACACAGAGGTCTATGCAAGGACTTTGGACACAAGGCAGGGTGGGTTTGTTGAAACTCAGAATATCACGTACTCTGTGAGTGTGTGTGAGTGTGTGTGTGTGGGGGGGTGGGTGTGTGTGTGGGTGTGTCTGAATGTGAGAGATCAACTTGTCCCAGCTGAAGTCAAAGAGAAAGTACAGCTGTCGTGTGATTGACAGGTGAAACAGGTCAATCAACATCTACCGTGAAAAACTGAAGAAGACATTAGGTTAGATACACTTTAAGATCCAGAGTTAGGGACATTTTATGGTGCAGCAACACGATACCAATGCATTGCACATGAGTACACTATTTTATAAACTAGAAATCATTCATAAACAGTAAACACAAGTTTACCCTTAACTACACATGTGACACACACTAGTGCACAACTGATGGTCACTTATTAGCAGGGGTTAAATTGGACCAGGGCTGTCCAGATACGCCAACCCTCCTACGTAATAAGCCTCACACATCTTCAACAAAACATATCTTACCTGAAATGCGTTTTAAATTATTTAAAAAATCATGAAAAGGCTGCTGCATATCAAATCAAGCACCAGTTCAACTAACAGGCAGACAGCAGTGTTCACTCTGTACTTCACTCTGCTGAGCCGTCAACACGCTTTTGTTAAAGTTGTTTTTCTTGGGGAAGGTGGCTCTGTGAATCTCTAGAAAAATGTAAAAAAGGCAAAGTATATTATGTTGAAAAATATAGAAACAGTCAGTGTATACTGTGTTGAAAATATCACTAAAAAGTATAGTATGTCAGATGAAAAAAGTGTTTTCAAAATATGAAAATAAGTTTATGGGTGTTGGAAATATTTATTTTATAGTATGTCAAAACATATGTTTAAAAGTAATAGTATAGTATGTAGAAATCATTACGAAAAAGTGAGTTTGTCCGAAAAAAATTCACAGTATTAGACTATGAAATACCATTTTAGAAAAGGTAAACACTGTGTACATTTTAATGTTTAATGTTTAGACTGATTATAATAAATGTTTTGGGAACAATGGATATAATCTGTGGGCCCACTAAAATTAAAAGCCTGATAAAGGGCAGTTGGTCTGTTTTCAGTCGTGTGATTATTGACTGAGCAGCGACCCCATGTGGTGAGGTCTACAAATGACCATTTTCACATCTTCAATCCAATAGGACCCTTCTGTAGTGCTGCAGAAGGGTCCCGTAATCCACTTGAATTGCAACCATTTTCCAACACGGCGTCATTTCTGGCCGACAAAAATCTGTATTTTAGCAAAGAATGTTAACCGCTCATCAATTTAGCTAATTTTGGATTATATGTCTTTGACTATGGGGAGGACTCTAAACCACACTAATAATAATGATCTTCTACTGTATGTTAGCAAAATGAGTTAGCCGTCTCTGAACACCATGATCTCACCAGTGTGCCCTGGTTGTACTGCAAAAGTATTCTATTACACCCCAAAATACCTCCTCCAACGCCACTACCATGCATGTTTGGCTACTCGATTATTTAGATTTTATGGCTGAGACATGGCATAAATGGAAAAATCACTTTTACAATTACTTCTCTATATATCTACAAAGGATATCTGTCATATCATTTATGGAGCTAATGACAGCTAAAGAAGCCCTATGTGTACCAACTAAAACAATATAATTATTTGATGCTGAAATCTTCAAAGCGAGGAACTTGAAACCATTTGGCACATAAACACTGTGTACATTAAAATATATATTATTATAATAGGCAAATGTTTAAAGTGCTGAACTGTTTGTCTACATTTGTTGTCATTTTAAGACATATTCGTACAGTATTTCAGTATGTACATTTAGAGCAAACAAGTACAATTCTTTAGATAGCACATTTAATTGGTAATTTGAGCTACTGTAATTATGATACTGACACAGTTCCTTAGACATTTGACTGTCATGACCTTTGCAAAAAGTGCTTTGTCATTTTGGTGGCCTTTACTCTTGTTGAGGAATTAATTCACTAGCACTGACAAGTTGAATCAGACATCTTCTTGCAGGACAAATTAAGTGTTCTTCAAAAAAGGCACAGGACAAAAATTGAAAGTTTTGGCATAAGCTTTTAATGTTTTTATTAAGTTTTCTATGTTTTCTCTTTAAACTGAATTTGTTTGCTTTTCCCCAGTAGTTTTGTGATATTTTTTTTCTAGAATTATTATTCAACTTGTTTTCATTTATGGTATCAGTTAAGGAGAAGAATTGCTCGGGTAAATCGGCATTCACAGTCAAACCTTCATACATTTTAACAACAGAACTGTTTTTTTTTTATAAGTCTCTTTTTCACAAATGCTGTTGAATTATTACAGTTTCACCTTTTTTTTTCTTTACATGTTTCAAAAATAGAAAAGGTAAATAATAAACATTCCATTTTAAATATATTTTATACAGTTCTTGATTCTTTTTTATTATATTTTTCTCTCTCCAGTGTAGTGACAATAAAATGATTTCCAACATCAGTCTTTATAGCATTAACCCCATTCATTATTGGAGGGAAGCCTCTCTCCTCTCTGTCTCTGTCATCCTTTTTTTCCTCTGCATCTTTCCAGTGGACACATTCCAATATCCCTGTTGTGGGACGAATCAATTGATCAATCAGTCAACAATGCTATAAACCCCCAACACTTTCAAAAGTGAAGTGAAAGATGACACAAGAATAAGGCTTTGTTCTAAAATGGTGACAAGGAAAACAAATTGGATTATGAATTTCGAACATTGGTCTTTAGAAGCTTCCGGGAAATGATGACTGGACTCATGAAACTGAGCCTCCAGAAAGTGACACATCACAGTCTGCTCTGTGAAAAGTGGCTACACCAGTGAATAATGTCCATGCCTGCATAAAATATGAGTGAATAATAATAATATAATTTTGTTATGTCCCTAACTGTGTCTCCTAACCTGACAGAGAAAGGAAGAGGGGGAAGACAAGAACCTTTTTTTTTTTGGAGGACTGAGGAGAGGCTTCCCTTCACATGGCCATTCGCAATTTAAGTTAAAGTCATCATTTTTGAGGTTTCCCACGCATGCATTTAGAATTCATTTTCAAAAAATAGAATAGAAAAACACAAGAACAAGGGATGCAAAAATAAGCTTCTTCCTCAAAATAACCAAGGAAGAGGAGGGAGGGACAGAGAGAGAGAGACAGAGGTGAGGAGCATGAGAATGAGAAGGAGAGGGTGCTGCAAGAAACAGTATGGTGGTTTAGCGCCCGCCCTGCTAGCTACAAACTGAAACACAACATTATCCAGCTTTAGGGTGAAAGTTCATTCTTCATCTTGAAATAGTATTTCTACAAAATACTCTTGACTCCCTTATTCAATGGTTAGGCTAGCTAGCTTGTTTATCCAGACCACGGTAGGTAAATCTAACAGGAAGTCCACTTATTAGCATATTAGCAAGATACGTTGAGAATTTCAGGCTAACTAACCAATTCATTTAGGCAATGTTAGCTAGTAGGGCAATGTCCAAATCAGCTATCCTTGGTTCAGTTGACTTAACGTCAACTTGTTCGCTTTTCTACAGTTTTTGAGATGTTTTTTAGGATTTTAGGCAGCTAATTTAGCCAAAGGTGACATGATCAGCTAGCTAAGATCACATTTTAGGTCTAGATGAGCTAGTTTAACCCTAACTCCACTGGCCTAATCTGTCTGGATAAACTAGATAGCTTTTCTAAATTATGCAGTGCAAAGTTTTAATGAATAATAACTAGATGTCTTTAACTTCAGTTTAGCTGTGTTTGCTAAGCTTATAAAGGGGAGTAAACTATAGCTCTGCTTGCGTTCAAACTTTTTCACATTTCCCCTCTGACCAAACCCCAATGATTGATCCAGGTGTTTTTTTCTGCTGTCAGAGAAAAAACGACATCACCAAACTGTTTGTGGCTTCTTTAAATATGTACAGTATACTAATACTAACTCTAACCAGCATTAAAGCAACATGGGGGGTGTGACAGTGGGCGAGCCGCTCCTCTGCATCTTGTCCTGATATGTTCGTCGTTTGAGTTTCAAGTAAAGTTGCACTATTGGTTAGCTCAGCTGTCAGTCTTCTCACAGGAGTGTGGCTTAGCTCAGTTTGCACAAAATGCTTCCTTTTTTAAGTCATTTTTATAGACAAACACACACACTCCAGACACACTCATACACACACATCAACCAACCACACAACCAAACCCCTAAAAAATAACTTATACCATTATTGCTGTCCCCACTACCCTGCAGTGGAATAATCAATGTTGCTGTTTGTCTTTCAAGAACTTTGCAGTCATCATTTATTTTTCTTCTGCTACAGCCCCAATGGACTATATTAGGACTTAGTTAGGTTTGATTCTCAGGCACGAGCCTTCAGATATGTATGGAAGGAGAGGGCTAGATCCTATTGTGATGCAGGGGTTTATCCATGTCCAAAGAACCGTTCAAGAATTTCTGTGGCGCACCACAGGATTGAAGATATTTCAACCTTTAATGTAAATAAACTATTTTGCAATTGATATACTTGTATTCTATTACTAGTTTGACCATCAAGGTTTCTGTGAGATCTTAACCAATCATTTTATTTCTAAACGAATGAATCTTCACTACAACTTGTATTACACCACTTTTTAAAAGGGTCTAATGACTAACACTATGAAGGTTGCATTACAGCAATGGTAGACTACAGTGTTTTTGGAGATGAACTAGGGAACTAAAGTCAGACTATATTGGTTGCAGCTGCTAAAATTGTCACCATGTAGTCTGTTTCTGTATCTAACAAGATTCACATTTGTACGATCAATGAGAATGCCTTTAATGCTACATTTTTTTAAAACCCCTTAATTGGACAGCCTTTAGGTAGCAAGGAAATGGGCAATTCTGATTAGCAATAGCATCTATTAACATTGTTTGCTTAAGGGCAATGGTATAAGTCCCTTTGTAACTAGGTTTTCTTTCCCGAATATCTACGATGGTCACATTTACCCCCCCCCCCCCATCCCCACCAGAGACACATGTTCTCCAACAGACCAATGACATGAAGCCTTTAGCCCAACTGGTGCGTGCATAGGCTATCTTTATGTTCACTGCATGCTTAAATACAAAAGCATTTGTCAATCCATTGTCATCATCTTCATGATCATAATTCATTATAATTGCATGTGTTACAAAATACAAAATATATGATATGTAAACCAAAAACAACAGTTTTAACAAATAAAAAAAATGCTCGTAGCAATATGATCCTGTCAAAATCAGTGACACTGAGAGAAGTTGGTATAGCTACAGTACAGTTCTTAGTAAGCTATTCTTTTTTTTTACATTTCTAAAGCTGTACTTTTCACCTTTAGGAAGACAAGTGATATCAGAACCAATTATTTTCACATACAGTGCCACATATAAAAGAAGAACACCCTGGAAGCAATGATTTCTAGTGCTGTGTGGAAGGACATTAGGATATAATTTTGACCAAAAGGATAGAAAATCTACTTCCAGGCTTCAAGTAGTGAAGTCAGCAGCCATTGATATGAGCATCATGTTCACGCAGAACTATTCATATATTTGAAACTTTCCTGAAAATACATACTGCAGGATCATACAATCTCAATATTCCACCTCTCAGATTATTTATTTTGTATACAGTGTATTCCTGAGATAGGCCCTGTTTTCTATTAGATTTTTGGCACCCTGTTATTTTTAAGACTCCACCAGAATTATACAGAGAATTGTGTGTATAACTGAAGATCAATACCAAAGAGTGACCTTTTTGGTCCCCACAACGGATAAAATAATGCATAGAAAAATTAAGATAAGGTGTCATGACCCTTGAAGTTATCAGTTGAAGTTTAAAATGCTTATTCATGTTCAAAATAGTTTAGATGACATGCATGACCTTAGACTCAATAAAATATCAGATACTGGATAGACTGCAGTTTGACTTTGAAATATGAAGAAAACTAGCTGAGCTAAAACCATTTGGTCTTTCCAGTGAGCAATCAGATCTTGGCTGAATCCATAATTTGGAACATTCGGAACCGTTGCCGACTCCTAGGAGGTGTTAGTCCCAAGGACTCTCCACATCTGCAATTCATGAGGCCTGCATGACCTTTTCTGCTGCACAAAAAAGAAATACAATATTCAAAATGAAAGACTGCTCATTTGAACCAATATCTATCTTATTGAAACTGAGTAGCAGATCAGGCACATCCTGTAGAGATTGCCAGGTCAAGAAATTATGTAAATCCAAAGAATATTGGTATTAAATTCCATCATATAGACATGTCATATAGACGGTCCATATTACCACAATTTGTGAGGGTCCAGTACAGAAATCCAAAGGGTATACTTTTTTTTTTTTTAGCTTGATAGCCCTTATTGAAAGCGTGAAGTACAGATGATGATCTTCTCTGGCTGGTGAGTTTGGCAAAAGCAGTGACAACAGGAAAGTGCAGGTTTGCCTGCAATAGCTGGTTCTTTTTTTTCGTAAATGGTAGTTTTTTTTGTCCTTTGTTAGCAGAGATTTATTTTTAAATAGTTTACAAGCCATAAATGGGAATATTTTGCTTAAATATGTGTGATAGCCCTACTGTATGTCAGCCACAAACCTACACTAATGGATAGCTAATGTGACACGAGTCTCTGTGAGTGTCTTTGTGGTGATTTTGTATCTGTTTGTAGTAGTTTTGCATTTCTTAAAGGTCATTTTGCATGCCTTTGTAGTCTTTTCTGAGTCTTCTAAAAGTTTGAGTCGTTGTGGTGGTTTTGTGTCTGTTTGTAGTCATCATTTACTTTCTAAAAATAGAATGGTATCAGTTACTTTCTACCAAGGAACAGGTATTAGTCACCTTCTTGGTATCAGTCATGTGGGGGTGGGGGGCCCACATGTCCAAATATAACCAAATACCAATTAATACAGAGCAATTGAAATAAATGAAAGAGCATCAAAAATGAAAATTAACCCTCACATGAAATGCATGGTAAAGACATGTAATAAATAAAAGACAAATAATAAGAAGTACCAGCACATTCTACAGCTTTTTTGTGATACATGTTTTTTTTCGAGTACCTGTTATCTTTCAGAAGTGCTTCTGCCACCATTAGAACTATTTTTTACCTTTCTGTTCATTTACCTCTTTTTCTAAATCTAAATCTATCTGTGGTTTTTTATCAGCCCAGCAGAACATTGTTGCTTAAACTTTTTCTTGTGAAAGGGGTACTTGCCCAACCCTGTTTCAACAGATTGATCTAAGATGGCTGCCTCTCTCCCTAGGGAAACAACTACCACTCCCTCCGTTTACAGGCGTACGCTACAACTTGCTTTAGCTGGGAACAATGTGTTAGTTAAGCTACTGAACAATGTCAGCAATTAGGACTATGCTCTGAGACAATTTGTTATGGAAACATTTGTTTGCTTGAAGACTGCTGGGGCATACCTTGAGTTTAAAGTTTAAAGGATCAGATTTAGGGTGAGGGTGAGGGTGAGGGGCTTTTATGAGAGGCTTTCCATAAAGGACAGCATAGATATGACTATGATATGACACTGCAGGGAGTAAGTTGCCTTGATTTGCAAGCTTGTTTGACGCAGATAGTGCCAATTGAGCTCATCAAAAATGTTGGTATGATCAAGTTCATTCATGAAATACTCTTTAAATAAGGCTCCATTTAAAAGAAAGACAGAAGTGATTATTTTCCAATGGCCATACACGATGTGAAAACTTTTTGGAAACAATATTGGAGATTTAACTGAGCAATATTTCAGCTACATTCCAGCTAATTCCAGGATAAGGTTATTGAATCATCACTCTCCTATAATACACAAGTTATTTCCTTATGGAATTGTGTCATTCTCTGACGGAGTCAAAGGGCAGATTTGATAAAGCTACATCATTCAAAAGCTACTGGGGCAAACATGAATGGACATCCTTTAGTTTGTCTCTTTTTGAATTGAGGTGAGTCGTTCCATTAATCCCTAAAATCTTCTGAACCACATATTGCCTTTTCTTGTTTTTGGTCCGATTTTTCTGGGGATTTTTCTGGAAACAGCTCAGTGTAGATCAGACTACAGTGCTACGTACATAATACCTTTAGAATGTTAACCCGAACATAATTACTTTCCTAATGCTAACTCTAATCCCATGCAACAGGAATTGATTGACCAACACCAATACTGATAACACTTAAAGGACTCTCAAAGGAAATGACAAAAAGCTATTGCTCTGTTGGGAAAAGAACCAATATCCCCCTCAGACATGAAGTACAAAAACAACCCTGGATGAAGAGACAGCCATCTTGTACATTGCCTGTATCATTGTGTAGGTAGCCATGTCTACCTGAACCTGACTTATACTTGACCCAGACTACAGAGGACATTTTGCCTTGGATATCAAGGGGGGGGGGGGGGGGGGGGGGGAATTCCAAGGATTGGGAAAATGTACATTTTCAATTCAGACACACAGAATCAATGACATCTCTGAGTGGACAGCACAGTTCAGTTCAACATCAGTTTGATTGTTTTGGGTCCACATTGTGACACAAACACACACAGCTGCCATTGGAGAGAGATACGTATAAGGGTTCTGGTAAAAGGCTACAAGAGGAAGAAGAAAGAGAAGAAGAAGAGGAGGAGGAGGAAGAAGAAGCAGAGTAGCAGTCAGGTGAGAAGTTGAAGTAGTAGTAGACGAACTTGTAGTAGCAGAATAAATACTTGCAGAAGTTGGGAGGAGTCTTCTTGGATTTTAGAGTGGTGGGGTGGGGGGGGGGGGGGGGGGGGCTCCTAAGTTTTCTTAGAGAAAACAAAACAGGTTGGATGTTGCAACCTTTTTTTTTCTTAATTATTTTTTTTTATAATTAAAAAGAACATAATCATTAAACATAATCCTACATTTTTTTTATTTGTTTCATATGACATAATTTTCTGATAAATGTTCATGTTTAAATTCAATTTCTAGCCCTGTTATTCATGGGGGAGATCAGAATGGCTTGCAGAAGTCATGCAGAATATTCATGCTGGTAAACAATGTCATAAAAATGCATTTCTAATTTGCAATTGTTGCCATTTTTTGTCCCTATAGTTTCTCAAAGATGTTTTCCCGCTGCTGCAGAATACCTGCTTTTTTTTCTGAAAAACCTCTATCTTCTCACCCCACATCCCCAGAGGTATAGAGTGTATGGTCTGCAGAATCTCCTTCCCCCCACCCTCTTTCCCTCAGAGGGGAAGGGAGCTCCTCCTCATCCGTCATGCCTTCTGAGAGAGCAGTTTGCTGCAGAAGATGCACGTATTAGCAGCCAGTTTAGGGGGTTAAAGAGTAGCTTGGGTGACGATGGCGTTGCATTGACATTGCTGTGTGGAAAAAAATAAATCTATGTTCTCTCTCATGGCCTCCTTCCGTTCTCTCTCCCCCCATTTTTTTTAATCCATCCATTGTGTCGTTGACTGTCCTTCTTCGGGTTTAAATTTGTTTCATTCATGCCATGCATTTTGCTAAAGAGGAGCAGCGACGCTGAGATGCAGTGTGGTGTGGGGGGGGGGGGGGGGGGGGGGGGGGGCATTCAAGACACCGTAAACACTCGAAGAGAACGAGAGAGAGAGAAAGAGGGTCAATCACATTTTCACTTTTTCTTTAGCTGATGTAACGGCCAGTTTCCTGTCTTCAAGGGCTTCTGTTCACCCCCAATTGGTCTGTCTTTGGGTTGGTTCCATCACAAGGTGAATACTGGCTCTTTGACATTTGCTGAGATCTCAGTATTAAACCCAATATGTCACCCGGAAGATTCAGATAATATCAAATACAGGATCATGTCAAATGTACATGTGATATGGCTGATGTTTTCTGATATGTATGAGTACATTTTCGCCTGCTGTTAGAGGTCCTGTAGCTCAGACTCTGCCTGAGTCGTTAGACATCACGATGGACCACCCCTGACTTTGCATAGTGCTTTGAGTGCCGAAATAATGGAACATCCACTGGATATCAACAGCTGAATGAAGCTTCTTGAAATAAAAAGAGTAAAGCAAATCACAACTAAAACAGAGGGCATCTTTGTTCCGAATCCAAGTCTCTCACGGGCCCTCTGGACGCTACGCTCCATGCTGCGGTTTGCTCTGTTCAAAAGAGGTCCAGATTGAACAGCTTTTATACGATCGTGACCATTTGTCTTCATTGGGATCGTCAACGAGGTTGCATATGAATGTGTAACGCAGATGAAAATGTTCTGGTCAAAGTGTCAGTGATGATTTCTATCACGCATCTTTTTTTCCTTCTCTTTCTCTCTATCTCCTTCCCTTTTTCTACAGTGAATCCGTTTAGGGAAGATGGAGGAGCAGCGGTTTCAAAGTTTATTGTTTTCCTCTTCTTGTAGTGAAAGGGGTTTAGAAACTCAGCACTGAAAAGAAAAGAGAGAAGATCATTTAGTGAGGATTTCAAAGAAATGATTCATGACTCTTGATCATCATACACCAGACCACGGAATACAATTAAAGGCTAAACATATTCCAAACAAGGTTTTTGATATTTCATATGAGGCTTATTCAAATCACTTTGTTTCAGCAGTGTAATCAGTTACATCCAGGTCTGGTGCAGATCAACATGGAAGCCCATTTCACACATACTGTAAGACAGTGGAATAATGCTGGTGGGTAAAGTAATGATTTCTTTGATTTCATTAAATTGGTATCTGCGAGATACAAAAGTCCTCATGAACATGTTTTTAGATTAGTTGTTGTTACATTTACACCAACTTGCTAACTCAAACAACTGACAAAGCTAACATTAGCATGCTCATGTATGTCCTGTTTAGAGTGAAGTGTGGACAAGTTAAAATGTCACAAAAGAGATACTACAATATCTTAACGACACAAATCCATGTAAAGAGAGAAAGAGAGATACCTACATGTGGAAAAAAAACTCTAAAACAATTTGTTTAGTTTTGCTAGCTTATGATTCTACTATGACTTCCTGTTTACATTGCTATCGATAAGACAGCGCTAAAGATGTTTCGAAAAAGCTTATTTACATATAAATAGTCTTTACACCATTCGTAAGCTTTAATGTTGCAACCAGATCAAGAAAGACATTACATTATGAATAGCTGGTGCAACCCTACTCAGATTTCTCCATGTTGGCACGTTACATTTATGTTTTATAACATCCATCCATCAGGAGATTCCAGTCGACAAAATTAGCCAAATTCATAATTATTTTACCACCATTCATTATTCCACCATCACAGAAAAAAAACCATTTCTGTATAATCCAGTTGTTTCCAGTGGAAATCGTTTTGTGGTTGAGTGTGGATCCACATTAGATGTTGGCCTGTTTCCCAAAAGCATCAAGATTTGTTGGTAGACATCTTACATTTGGCGATGAAATGTTTGTATCTCTTCTGAAGCTTGTTGTTGGGTTATAAACAGTGCTTCATAGCTATTTTTGTTTTTTGGCCCATTGCAGAAAAATCTGTCTTTCTGGCAAACTTTATCTGCATATCAAGAAAATAAGATGTGGTAGTAAGCTCCAGAAAATGATTTGATGTTAAATTGAGATTGGGAATATTTTGGGTTGCTATTATGTTGTCTTTCCACTTAAAAACTACACTTGAGTTTAATCAACCAATCCTAAAGGTGCCGTTGGGAAAGAGGCCGTGGATATTACTCTCACGTTAGAGATCTAAAGTGTTAGCCATTGTAGAAATCTTTAATTTGCCGGACAGCTTTCCAAACAAAATCCTCCCAGGTTGGAGCAAGAATTTAGAACTTAAAAGACTTCTACAATGGCAGACCAACCTAAACTCTGGTTTCCAGCAGTGCTCAGTGAGGTTTTTGCTAATAAAAACAATATAATACACCAAGACAAAGAAATGATAGGCCAAACACACCACTGAAGCAAAGGAAAGACACCACCACCAAGCTCCAGCCTAGCCAACATGCAAGTACACCGAGAACACAGAGCTAGAATGTGACACACGTAATGGTTACTCTGCGTCTCTGTAACCCACACACACGGAAAACAATCTGCAAAAGTCCTCGGAGGGCTGCTCAGTCCTCTGATATAACCAGTCTTTGGAAGATCACAAACGTAGTGAAATCAAGGGATGTCAAAGTTCAAACCAGAGGACTGCAGCCAACCAGGACTGGGCCGAGAACAAGAGCTGAGAGAGGAACATCTCAGTTGGTGTGTCCTGCACATGTACAGACCAGACCTTGGCCAAATCATGATTTTGAGCTTTTTGTTTCATCCCACTTAAACCTTCAGATTGGCAGGTTATGCTGCATCAGGTCAGTACATTTGATTCATTTCACTCTGGTGCAGTTTTTCCCAAATGACAAACTAGACTTCTCCTGCACCTGTGTGGGATAAAACAATCAGCAGCTGGTGTTTGTAAATGCTCTTTGACCCAGGTGTGGTAAACACGAAGTACATGAAAGAAAAAAGGTAAGGGACATAGAGTGCGGCACACGACACGAAAACACACATAACATAAAACAAAATGTCACACCAACACAGAACCACACACAGGTGAGGAAACACAGCACAGGGAGCAAAACGGTGCACAGGACAGCAGCGAGGAACACATTCTTACATGGGGAAGAGATTTTGCTTCTCTTTTGCTTCCTCATCATCACCACACTTTTCTGTCTTCCCCAAACTTTCCTCCTCCATCTCCTCCCTCTGATGCTGCTCGGCTGACAATCCACTCAGAACACATCATTTCATTGCACAGTTTTCCCCTCCTCCCAACCTACAGTACACCCCCTCAGTCTTTTTAATTCATTTAAATGTCGGTTCCTGTCTTCCTCCTTGGTGACGTCCAGTGTTTCACCAAGCCATTTTATTTTTAGGTGCAAAGGTGCTCCAATTAATTGAATTCCTTTTTGGTTTTTGCTGTGAAAGACTAACAGTGGGGGGATCTACGGTAGGTTGGGGGGATAAAGTCTCACAGGAAGGGGGACATGGTTATTGAGAGGCTGGAAAGACCAAGGACGCCACAAGGAGAAGACAGGAAGCACAGTTGGACAAGGAAAGCAAAAGAACATTTTTAAAAGAGGCAAGGAAGAGCCACAAAACAAGAGCACATGGTGTTCACAGAAACAGAAACAAGAGGAACACTTCTTATCTCTCCCTTTTTCAGACATACAGTACATCTTTGAGGAAACATGGGTGAAAAGGAACACAGGGGGACGGAGGGAGAGAGAGAAAGAGATACCTGAGTTGTGAATGAATGAAACAGAGAGAAACATTGGCAACAATGGGTGGAAGAAAGAAAAAAAACATGTATGAAGTTTGAAGGGTGCCCCTGCAGTGCGAGTCAAGGCTTGGGAACATAAACGGGCTCTTGGGTTCTGCCTGAAAGTCTGATGCTACATGTCCAACCTCCAGACCCATAATTCCCACCTTGCTACAGAAAGCTGATGCTACTTCCTTTGGCACTGGGTGTACATTTTGAGCATTAGCTCCACATGAATACACTTCTAGATAGTGGTTAGTCTTAGGGGAAACTGTCTTAAGGGACTTAAGGGGAAAACCTAACCCTAACTCTAGCTGGGGACCAAATCTTCTCTCAAGCAGCCAAGACCTACCGATGACTCTGGCTGTCATGATACCGGACTGAAAAACAAGCCACTTGTTAATAATAATATTCATAAATTCAGCTTTGCTGGAAGCATTTCTGGTCTACAAGAGAAACCAGAATTGCCTACTTGGTGAGTACTCACCAAGTAGGCAAATGTACTTAAATGTACTTAAAAACATTTGAATGCCATTAAGTTTTAATCACCTAACATAGCAAATGGGGTAGTAAGGGTTTGGCCAAGGCACCCTGGCATTGTTCATCTGGCCCTGGTCCTCATCCCTTTTGGGAGTTATCAATGCATTCTCACATTGCAGAGGTATCCTTCTTTTGATCTCACTGTAGTTTAAATGCAAGTGTAGAATTGAACGGGACAGAAAGAAATGAAACGTGACATGAGACGATGGAAGGGACAATTGGGTGAGGAGGTATCTTGGGAGGTCTCTCCTCTCTCTTGCAGTAGAGGGGTTGAGACAATGATGGAAGAAGCTGGATTTGTTGTGTTTTTTTTTTCATGTCTTAGCACTAGTTCACAGTTACTGCTTTTTTTTTGCATATATCTGATAAGCGCACAGCTTTCAGAACAGTTCTCTGTGAAAAGAGAAGCAAATAAATAAAAAAGAAATCATAAGCTACGATTGTTAATATGTTCCTCTTATCATAAGTCTCTCAAGTTCGATAAGAAAGCAGCTATACAAGACCTACTACAAACGTAACCCCTCCCTGTCCTGCAAAAATAAACTTTCCCACCCCCACCCAACCTTGTTACAGTACCTAACTTGGTCGCATCCGACCATTAGCATCATAGCAATTTGGCATGCATAATGTCAGCCCGCCCCACCTCTTCTGCATTCAAAGAGGTGAACTTTTTTTATCCTGCATGCTTTGTTAGTGCATATGTATGCATCTTAACACACACATTCATACACACTCTTATTAGTCTAAATATTATATACACATTCATTAAGCTTGAGACTAAAATCTTATCAAACCTCCTCACATTATTACTCATATCAGTATCCTTATTGCTTGCAATGGAAACCCATGCAGATTCATATACAACGCAAACTTTACATATGTACATCATCATGACAAAAGAGACCAATCAGGAGTGGCCTTAGGGAAAGTGACAGATGCACTCACAACAAGTGGACGTTGGGAAGGAAGAGGATGATGAGGAGAGGATGACGTGTTGAGAAACGATAGACAGGTTCAGTAGAGGGACTGGAGTGTGTGTTCCCATCTATATGTGTGTGTGACGTGTGTGTGTTTGTATTTGAGCCTGGTGGAATGTCAACTAGGATGGGGGGTTTAAAATGAGTCTCCAACTGGGAATCTTTATCCTGAACTCCCAGTGGAGACAAACTTCTAAATCAAACATTCGCACATGAAACAGGATTTAGCTAGACCCTGCATGACCACAAATCAGGGTCCCATAAGGATAAAGGAGTAGCTTGACATTTTGGGAAAAACACTTTCTTTCCCAGAGTCAGAGGAGGAACGGATATCCGATACCTGTGCAGTACAGAGCCAGAGGCAATTACGTTAGCTTAGCATAAAGACTGGAAGCAAACGGGAGGAAAAAAAGTCTTATTTTGCGCTATTTCCCCCTTTTTTAGTTTGGAATCTTAGCTGGGATAATGACTTTTCGCTATAGCTCCTAACGTAGTGCAAAGAAAGTTTTCTTTCCCAAAATGTTGAACAAAAAAAACAACTATATGCTTCTCAGACACAATGGTGCTCTCACCTCCCGACACTCAGACACAGAATCCTTCTTAAAAGAACAGGGATTAAGCCGCTCTGCACCTTGAACCTGCTTTGGCAGAGTCTATGTTCACTGGGTGGTAAGTGATAGTTTTTCTCTTTGGGGAATTGAATGCAAATCTAAGGGAATGACTTCCTGTTAGCTGAAAGTGACTTTCTGGAGGGAGGGAAGGAAGGCGAGACCAAGAAATGAGGAGAAGGGATTCAAACAGACATGAAACTTAACCAACAGACACATAATTAGGGTCTAAAACAATGAACAAGACATGTTTTGAAAATTAAAACGAACAAAACTAATTCTGTAACATCAGAACATTTCTATTTAAAATAATCAGAAAATAAACTAGGGGAAAAACCCCTTAGATTAAGAAAAACAAAAGTACTGACTGACAGAAAGATGACATCATCATGTAATCACACACGTTTCTTTAAAATAAATGCTAAACTGAAATAATTGTGTCTTCCCTTCTATCTTGCAGAATCAAAAAGTAAGGAAAACATAGTTTTTTCTAGTTTGTGCATCTTAGTACAGAGGTAGATGCAGGTCTGGGCACACACACATCCACACACAAAAATCCATGTGCACACTCATGTGTGCAGAAGATAGAACTGAACAGAAACACACATCCAACCACCGATGTCTCATGTATCTACATTGCATATTTCTATGTTCGTATGCTGTCTCTGTTGTCATGTCCGCTCTCTTCTTCCCTTGCGGTGTGAGTCCTCCTCTCTTCTTCTACCATGGGCTGTCACTCCAGTAGCCGTTCACAGTGCCTCCTACTGAGCAGCCGCACCCGAAACAAAGAGGAGGTGGACGGACAGAAGAGGAGGGAGGGTGGGGGGGTTTGGGGACGGGGCAAAAACAGGGAAAGAAAGAGAAGCCAAAAACTAAAAACATTGCCATTGGCTGCTGAGTGGCACTGGAGTCAGTGCAAGTAGTAACGCTGTTGGTGGAGGTGGTGTGATGATGAACTGTAGAAAACCACGATTCTCACAGTTAGGCTGAGCTGCAAGGTCCAAAACTTTTCCAGATAAAGAGAAAGCCTACTACCCGACCACCTTACAATAATTGTTGAACAATTTTGGCTAATTTGCCTTCTTTCTGAGAATGTTCAGTCCGTAGCTGGAGTCAGGACGTGTTTATTTTTAGCTTAGCATGAAGACGCAAGAAGCATATGGGAACAGCTAGCATGGCAAGGTTTAGAAGAACCTTTAATAACTTCTACTAGTTATTTCTTTATTCTATACACAAACAAAATAGTAGAAAAGGACTCATGACACACGACTATCCATCCTGGTTGCTAACAGGGTTTGTGCGCACATGATGGTAGCAAACCTGACAACTTGTACATGACAACAAGACCACGAAGGGCTGTTGTTCTTTGTTAAAACCACCTTTAACATAAGCAGTCCTTTGTCTTTACCTTCCTGTTCGTGTACCATTTAAAAAGATGAAATATCTGGTATTAATGATTCAGCTGTTCACTTCAGGGTGTTGGCTAGGTTTGTCTGCTTCAGGTATGTATGCTAAGCTAGGCTAAGTGCATCCGGACTCCAGCTAAGTACTTAACGCACAGACATGAGAGTGGTGTGGATCTTCTCGTCTCAATCTTTGAAAGAAAGCAAATCTCTTTGTTCTGCCTTTACAAATCTTGATTGATAACATATTGAAATCACATAAAATGTAAGACGAATGATCATCCCATCTTCCAACTTTGCAGCTCAGCCTTTTGCCGAGAGCCGGGTGAGAGGATGGCGAGTGATGAGGATGAGGTGCTGTGGTGAAACCAGACCCTACTGTCCTGTCCCCGTCCTCCCGAGGTCTTTGTGAGGATAAAGATCAAAGGTTATGTTCAATATATTACATTTATTTCTAAAAGCTTATTTTTGTTGTCTTGCCAACATTCCTTGGAGCCAGTAAATACCTCTAGTTCACTAAAAGTCTGCTTTTATCCGCCTGTTTTTGACAAAACCTGAAAGGAAATGCAGGAAAAATCCGAAATATTGCACAAAATGTTTTTATGCACGTAATTATATATTAAAAAATATCAGAACATTTCATGAATATATTTGACCTAATTTCATATAATATTAACCTTTTTTAACTGCTATTTTTCAGGTTGGGAACCACTGTTCTATGACCTGAGGCCTGAGAAGAGGAGGGGATGCTGCTGTTGTCGGTTATGAAGGTGTTGTGGAATCTAATGGAAATCCGTCTCTTCTCTCTCTTTACTAAAGGAACAAACTGAGAACAAACTAAGTTTGCAGAAATGCTTAACTGCTTTCATCTCAGTGAACATAAAGAAAATCTACAGTTGGGGTTCTTCCTTTTCATAGATATGATTTTGACTTTACAAAAATTTATTTTTTCAATCTACTTAAAGCTATCGTCACATGAGTAAAAACATGCAAGCTTCAGTAATATGTTAGTGTCTATGTGTGTTTGTTTGTGTGCATTCTGATGCCTAATATTATAAAAGTGACTATTCAAAGCTACTCTTACATGTCAGTGTTGAAGCGTTGAAGTGGAGTGGAGATACAGGCAAGAACAGGGGAAGCTGGAGGTTAACTAACTATCATATCCGTCTAAACTAACCTAGACTCTATCCCTGTTAGTAAGGCAGGTGTGTTAGTGTGTGTGTTGTCAAACACATTTGCTAAAGCATCATCTCAGAATAAGGGTTAGCTATTCTGTGGTTTTAAAACTTGTTTGCTTCTATTGAGTGGAAACCATATGAGTAATGGTAATGAGAGCAGCTAGGATGAATCAAATATCAATGAAACATTTCTTCAATGTTCTTTATGTTCCCCAGACAAAAAATAAATTGTATTGTTGCTGTTGTTGTTGTTTTGTTGTTTCCCTGTTGCTATGCTACAAGATGGAGGGGATGGGGGAGCGGCATCGCCTGAGGCCAGGCGGCTCAAAGGGCTCAAAGGTGGAGTTGGTGATGGGGGCGAGGCGCAGCGGGGCGCCCGTCATCCCGGAGATATTATTGAGGCTGCGCGACTTCTCATAACCCGTGGCTACATGAAGATGACAAGCACAGGTCAGAGGTCAAAGGTTAGAGAGGAGTCATGGAGGGTCATTCATATTAGCAAATGAAACAGTCAGCAAGATCAGGATATGGAATGTAAAATGTGAGGAATGAGTGGTGTTGCATGGAAATGTGTTTTAATGACAGAAAGAAATGTTATGACAGCATTTAACATCGGAAATTGCAAATAGAAACCATTTGTTACAGTTACAAGCATTTGTAAATGAAACAAAGTTGGAAAAGAAAAGAGAGAGAACTCAAACCAAAACCAGCCCAAACCAAGTAAAATATTTCAGACCAAAGGAGGAAGTTAGAAAAAGACAGACAGACAGATGGACGGAGGGACAAACAGATGGACAGACAGACAGAGACAGGACAAAACAGGAATATTGGTTACGGAAATCAGCTATCAGTTGCCACAATATCCCTTAGACACCTAGAGGTGGCGCTCTGTAGCACCCACATCAACTGTGTAGGGGGGGATGCACTAGTCCAGTGGATATACACAACCCCTTTGATAAATACATCCCGTAATATTTTACTCTGGTACATCCACTGGACTAACTGCTCTGGGATTCCCAAAAGCACATCACAGGTGGTACACTTTGTTCAGGAACATGTAACAGCCAGACGTTTTGGGAAACTCAGAGAAATGGGTAAATCATCTGGAGCTGAGCACAGTTAGGAATACACACAATCCTCCAAGTTACCATTCCAATCTTAAAAAACTTCACTTCAAGGAAGACATTTAGATCTCAGAGTCCAGGTGTTTTAGCCAATCTACCAGTAAGAACAGCAGGCGGCTCTGAACAGCCAGTTAGACAGAAAGACAGACAGACAGACAGACTGACAGAAGAGAAACGTGTGTGTTTCTCTTCATTAAGGTAGTTAAATGTTACATGTTTAAAAGAGTATAGCCATGCTCTGTGAGGCTGTATCTGGCCACAGCGGTGCTTTGAGCTAAATGCTAACATTAGCATGGTAAGCAGGTATAACGTTTACCATGTTTACCATCTTGGTTTAGCGGTAAGCATGCTAACATTTGCAAATTAGCACTAAACACAAAGTACAGCTGAGGCTGATGGTAGTGCTTTTGGCCTTTTTAACGGTTAGATTGAAAAAGCAGCAAGTGGCCGAGTGAGGGGACATTTCAATATTTTCGGTGGAGTTTTTCCTTAAAGAATGTGCTACAATTGAGCAGGTTCTTGCTTTTGATCGAAATAATTGTTTTCTAAAGAAGAAAGAAAAAGCCCTATGTACAAACTGGCATACTTGTATACATGACTTGACATGAATTTGTATTATATTATCATAGATATTGAAGATTTTAAGACAATATCTAATTAAATCCAATGGCAATATATTGGCTGATATTATTATATATTTTATAAAAGAGTACTTTCAATAAGTGAATTAACTGTTTAGACAAAGAATTAGCATATACAATATGTTCTGGCTTTAAGTCGCTATTAATCGGTCATGTTCCATATACACTACATTTCCCATAATGCTCTAATGCCCAATTGATTTAAACCTCGAAGATTAATTGAACTCCTCCTCTGAAATACTTATATGACACTGAAAATAATCTGTATAATTGGTGCCTCTTAGTCCCACTTTAAATTACTTTTCTAAACATTTGCTGCCAATAATCATTCCATGGTACGCCAATATACTAATATAACCTGCCAAATGCTAATGCTGGCTGATCAATTCATGCAGATTTGTTCATATTTAGACCTATTTATAGTTGACAAGAAAAATACACTCTGAAAGAGAAATCCTTAAAGAAATCTTATTTCCAAAGCTTTTGTTGTCCCAAGTCAAATACAGAGTCTTAAAGTCTATAAATGTCTATAAAAGTCATAAAAGTAACCAATGAAAATGCAGAGTAGAGTGTTGCTGTACTGTGACGGGCTCATTAAGAGATATACAACAATCTGGTCTATAACTAATAACAATAAAGCGTCCGAGTTTCTGTATAGTTATAGAAATGCGAAGTTACTTCCGATTCCATCAACAATGGCCGTACTATTCTCATGAACTGATAGGAAGATTTGAAAAGACAGTGACCCTGTTCAATCACGTCTTATACATATTCACCTGCATAAGGGAATATTCCACCCCCAAAACTCATTCACTGTGAAGTTGCACAGTTTTGGTTAATCACAGAGAGAAAACACCAGTGTGTTGATCTCGGAGTTGGTGTGTTGTAATTGCTGCTTCCAGCACCTACTTATAAAAAACTCATGTTCTACTTCGATACGTTTGACGAGCAGCCAGTTAGACATAATCCTTACAGTACCCTGCACCCACAAGGGCTACAACAATATAGAACTACATATTATTACCTACACCAAAACCTGCCACACCACAGCTTTTAACAACTCAACACCTCTCCGGAAGGATTTGTCCTTGTGAGGTTATGGTTAGGGTCTGGGATCAGTTTCAATTCTGCTAAAACTAAAAAAAGAGGAAGTTAGGCCCTGATCGGTTAGCTTTCTATCAACGTATTGAAACAGATTGGTTAGTAGGTTTGTTTGCTGTTTTGCTTTTCATTGATGACATTGGGAATCTTTAAAATTATATTTCCCACAAAATCTATCTTTTAGGGGTCAAATCTAACCCCCTCTTCTTTCTTTGAGCATTAGGTCATTTGAATCCCCAAAGCCCGTGCTGCAGTCAACTTGAGGATGCAATATGGCACACCTTGAATTCCCCCAGGGATATGTTTGTAATACGGTG